GTGTGTGTGTGTGTGTGTGTGTGTGTGTGTGTGTGTGTGTACTGACTTGGCCCCGTGCTGCTTTTGTAGAATAAATGCACAGATCCTGTTTCCTCATGTGAGTGGCCATCTCCAGTCCTACAGCTGTAGGAATACAGCACACCGAATGCAAAGTGCAGTGCAAAGTGTCACACTCATACACACACACACTCTCTCAGATTTAATGCCTGCTAGAAATTTCCTTTTTTTTTTCTTCCAAAGGCATTTCAAATATTATTTCTGAATTATCTTTTTCTGTACATAATCTTTACAGATTTCCGTCAAAGCTTCAAATATTTTTTGATATTTTAATGCTCCAAATATGTCCACATGATTCCCTCCGATATTCCCGCTTCCTCTTCAGGTGGACAGTGAGTTCAGTGACGAGAGGCAGAGGTGCATCATGGGAGGAAACGATGTAATAACGGTGTGTTTATTTGCGCTAAGGTAAAGGGAGTGATTCACTAATGAAATCCAGGGTGGGACTGTTTACCCGGAGCTCTCTCTCTCTCTCTCTTTCTCTCTCTCTCTTGAACAGTGAGGACACTGTACTGTGTATGGTGGGTGCTGGAGGGTGTGTTGGCAGTGCGTGGTCCTTCACGTTCTCTCTCACACACACACACACTGCACAGTAGCAGCACTCATCTGCTTGCAGCTCAGTGAAAATATCTGTCTTTTACTCGGCTACATTTTTTACCAGCAAACCTGTGAAACAACGTAAGATCAGGCTTTTGAACACAGAGCTCCGCTCTGCCTCCTCACACACCCACAGACCAGAGTTGCAAAGGGCCTTGAACAGCTGAAAAGTTTATGAATTAAAAATGTGTAACTTAGGCTTTAAAGGTTTTGAAATCGATTAGGAAATGTCCTTGAAAGGGCTTCTGTGCTCGATTTTTCTCTCCCCGCGGTGCTGAAATCTTGAGTTATGGTGGGTAGTGAAAAAAAATCTCCTTCTTCTCCTTCCACCAGGATCCGTCCTCAGCTGGCCAAAGAGAAGATCGAGGGCTGCCACATCTGTACGTACGTGATGCCCGGGGAGCCGCAGGTGTTCCTGGGTAAGGACAAGGCCTTCACCTACGACCACGTCTTTGACATGGACAGCCGGCAGGAAAGCATCTACACGCACTGCACCGAGAGTCTCATCGAGGGCTGCTTGGAGGGATACAACGCCACTATCTTTGCATACGGACAGGTGGGTCACCAGGGTTCCCTGCGTGTTGGCAGATCAACACAAACACTCGCACGCTGGAGCTACTTCCGGCTAGATTTATGGCAGCACATAATATTATCGGACGAGTAACGAGGGAGTGAACGTGGCCTCACAAGCTATCAGCTGACGTGTTCTGACCTGCTCTCACCACCGCAGCTTTATATTGGCTCCGATAGATTATCCTGAGAGGGAGAGATAGACGGGGCGATTGCCCAATCAAAGCAGAGTGTGAGCAGAGCGTCACCTCTTTCCACAGCAGGCAAATAAACCGCAAAGTCGAAACATAAGTGAGATTTTGTTACCTCTGGACAGAACCAGACACCCTTTTCTAGTTTGTATGCTAAACTACGGTCTCTAGCTTCATACAGAGCAGACAAATATGAGATTTGCATCATTCCCTCCCCCCCCCAAAAAAGGCTGTCTTTTAGTACTAGTACTAAACACTACTTTACACATTTTCACACCCTTTCAAAGAGTTGAATGGAAATGCATAGCTAAAGTGTACTGTGTCTTTATAGGTCCATATAGTGGCTTGTTTGGAGATATTTTTGTTATTTCCCCCCTATAACTGGATACCGGACTATTTGTAATGCACAACTGTGCCAAACCCATGTTTTGCTATTACTCTCTTTCTATTGCTCTTTCAAACAAGTCCATAATTTCAGATGTAAAGGCAATACGTCCAGTAATTCAACAGATGTCTCATGTAAAGGTTGACATGCCATGGCCCCTGTCTAATGTAATATGTAGTATATCCCTGATATAATGTGACATTATCTATAAATCTTTAGGACCCTGTGGTAGAGTGGAGGCCTTTAACAGTGACAATAGAAGGAGCAAAAGCAGCTGCATCAACACCAAAGCCTATTGGATAAAAAATACTTTTCTATCAGCCTTCATTGCATCTCGTGCAGAATGAATCAAATACATCGAGCGAGCAAGCGACCTGCTTTTCATTTGTCTCTCCCGCGGCGTCTCCGGCCGCAGCTTTCCCTCCTCTTAATCTTCCCCCTCCGCTCTTCTTCATTCTGCTCTCCTCACATTGTTGCTGCAGCCCTTGTGTTCCCGTCAAAGAGCCTTTCACGGCGTGCAGTGGAGGCCACGTGCACGCACACAGGAGCATGCGCACGAACGTAGTAAAAAAAAAAGGTGTGGTCTCGTAGGATACAACCGACGTACACACAAACGCTGTCTTTGTCTCCCACACACACACACACACACAGACACACACTTCCTCATATATCACACACAGTCCTGTCAGGGTCTCTTTCAGGCATTTGGTCAGGAAGGAGAGGGGTGACGCGTGAATTTGAGCCCAATGTTGCATTCCTGCTTTTGTCGCCACGGCGACTACCCCATCCCCTCTGACCCCCCCCCCGCTCCCCATATGTTAGAGAAACTACTCAGAGCTGCACCAGAGACGGGCTCCAGTCGACAGTCGGTTAGTTGAGTGACACAGCTAAGAAACAACATATTGCTGAAATATGCAAAAAAGTACACACAATAAGAGCAGAAATGGACTTTTATCCTCATTTTGGTAAAGTGACTGATGTCTCTGTCTCCTCCCCCGGCGCCCAGACAGGTTCGGGAAAGACCTACACCATGGGAACCGGCTTCGACGTCAACATCGAGGAGGACGAGCTGGGTATCATTCCCCGGGCCATCAACCACCTGTTCAGGGGGATCGAGGAGCGCAGAGAGGCTGCCACCGAGCAGGGCCGGCCTGTTCCCGAGTTCAAGATCAACGCACAGTTCCTGGAGGTGCAGGAACACACACACACACACACACACACACACACACACACACACACACACACACAGAGGCTGACATTCACAGGATGGGGGTTTATGTCTCAAACTAAGGGGCAATTATCAGCACTCAGTCTAAACTCTTCATTCAAAGCATCCAGTCCGCCTAAGGTCCATTAGTTAGACGTAACGAGAGCATGCAGACAGCAAGAGGTCAAATGTCAGCAGAGGGTGTAGGGGGTTTTAGGGTTGTGAAAGCGTCCAGATGACCCTACAGCCATTAAACTGTCGTTAGTCCGTCACTGTGGTCAGCTCCTGGCTTTATTTTTAACCACCAACGGGTGGATGCCGGCAGCTGGTGAAGAAGCAGCTGGGGGGGGGGAAGACGAGTCTGGGAAGAAGACCTGCCAACCTGTACGCATTTTGCGTAGCAGGCACGCATTTTAGATATCAAAGTACGCAATTTCAAAGTAAAGTTATGGACAACAAATATAGCTGAGCTAATTGAGAGACGTGGGATGATTGTTTCCTCTCCTACCAATAAGCTTTACCAATAAATAATAGCAAACCAAAGGCGATTTAGCCCGAACAATAGCTTTTAATGTCAGTCATACCACGCTGTGTGGACCGAGAAGTTGTTGCAGAAAGTATTTCTCTGTCACCTTTCCTATGCGCTCAGATATGTCTGCTTCCTTCAGGGATATTCTATTGACTGGGAAATCCTGCATGTATGCAAAATGACACACTGTAATGCCAATGTCCACTGTTTTCCACTGTGGCCCATCATAGTCTAATTTGTCCCACCACAGTTTCATTATGAAATGAAACATTTTTATACTCAACGGGCTGGCTGGCCATACTTTATATACTTAATAATGATGTACTTAATATTAGATCATAGTTTATATTTTATATTAAGAATCTAAATCTGCAAAGTAAGTAGTAACTTACGTATGTACGTTAAAAGTACTAATTTCCCCCCGGAGATGTAGTAGAAGTATAAAGTTACAATAAATTGAGATACTCAAGTAAAGTACAACTACCTTTAATTGTCAGTAGGCCTTAATGTACTTAGTTACATTCCACTACTGCTAGAACACAAAATTGTTTACAAGAGCACAAAGTTCTTCAGGTCTAGCCTCTTGATTTTGCTCTCAAAGTGCACCAGATAGATGTATCTAACTTTAGATGTCCCAAATGTTCTTCCTGGGGGAGCATGCCCCCGAAACCACCCTAAAGGGTACGAGGTCCACCCACCGTGGTCTCACTAAATCCTCTGGGAAACACTGATGTATGCAGGTTATGTACAGTAATTCATTGTGAGGACAGCAGTGGTTCGCGTTCGACGTGTCTAGGTCACTAAAGTGGTCCTCAAAAAATGTGTCCAGGGTCTGTGGATGTATGGCAATAATACGTGTATTATCTGCGTTCTCTCCATACTCTGCAGTTGTACAACGAGGAGGTGCTGGACTTGTTCGACTCGACCCGAGACATCGAGGCCAGGAGGCAGAGATCCAACGTCAAGATCCACGAGGACGCCAACGGAGGCATCTACACCGTGGGGGTCACCACTCGCACCGTGACCTCTGAGGCTGAGGTCGGCTTCAACGGTTTTCTTTTTGCACCCACTCCAGACACACAGACGAGCCCTTTTTCATTAGTCATCGCACATTTCTGTTATAATGTGTGGTTTATGTGGGAGCACAACTGTAACATATACACACACACACACACACATAAAGTAACGACGTATTGTATAAAAATTGGAATTGCAGGAGGGACGTCACCCTTAATCAATCACACACTACTGCTTAGAAGTGGGTTTAAAAATCAGTACAACCCCATCCTAATAAACGTATTCTGAAATGGTTTGATACTCAAAACCACCACTATGATATAAAAGCATCAGTTTACTTTAATTAGAAAAAAACTTACAGTAGTTCCGGCTGTATTTCCACATCTATGAAGTCAATTCACTTCGCTGTACAGTTCCTATATTATTATTTTTATCATCCAACAACCTGCAATCTGTTCCCTATGTCTCTCCTCCAACAGATGATTCAGTGTCTGAAGCTGGGCGCTCTGTCTCGAACCACCGCCAGCACTCAGATGAACGCACAGAGTTCGCGCTCCCACGCCATCTTCACCATCCACCTGTGCCAAGTTCGAGTGTGCTCTCCCAACAACGACGTGCGTACCCGACCGCACACACATGCCGCCGCTGAAATCACCATCAGCTGCAATGTATTCTTTTTTTTTTTACGCTGCGTTCTTTCTCTTCCAGGAGAACGTAACAGACAACCGTCTATCCAACGACACAGAGATCAACGAGTTCGAAACGCTGACGGCCAAGTTCCACTTTGTGGACCTGGCCGGTTCTGAGAGACTGAAGAGAACTGGAGCGACGGGAGACCGAGCTAAAGAGGGCATCTCCATCAACTGTGGGCTGGTGAGGACGCTAAGAGCACGTCTGCAGTCATAGCTCATAGTCATGTGTTGTATTCATGCAGCCATAGAAATGTGTTTGTGTTGATTGGGGTGACGATGCAAAGTAGTGAATCTGTTATTCTATGACTGTGCATGTCAACGTTCACCAGTGTCAGGGGATTTTGTGGAGCAAGAGAGCCCCCAGGTGGACGAGAACATGTACTGCACATGTGTTTTTCCAAAAGTACTCAAAACAGTGTTGTTTACTTCCTATTTCATTTAGTCCCGGAATTGCGTAAACCCTCAAATATCCAATCATACACTTGTTATTTCTCCCCGTCTCACCTCAGCTTGCTTTGGGAAACGTCATCAGCGCTCTGGGAGACAGGAGTAAGCGCTCCACTCACGTGCCTTACAGGGACTCCAAACTGACCCGGCTGTTGCAGGACTCACTGGGCGGCAACAGGTTTGTAAACTCTGTCTGCGCGCAGATACGGATGTGTATCTTTGACAATGGATGACAAACCAGTATTTCCGTGCTGCAAAAGTTGATTTACCTGCTTTGAAGTCAGTGATTGATCACCAGTGCTGCTTTAAACATGAAATAATCCTCACTAGATTTTTAAAACATGCAGAGGCTAAACTTGTCCTTCAGTACACCTAACATGGCATGAAAACAGCGTATTAGTTTTACAGATTAGTCATTGCAACTGTTCTTCATTTGTGCGTTCTCCAGTCAAACGGTGATGATCGCCTGCATCAGCCCGTCGGACCGGGACTTCATGGAGACCTTGAACGCTCTGAAGTACGCCAACAGAGCCCGAAACATCAAGAACAAGGTGATGGTGAACCAGGACAAAGCCAGCCAGCAGATCAGCGCCCTGAGGACGGAGATAGCGCGACTGCAGATGGAGCTGATGGAGTACAAGACGGTAAGAGGGCAGAGGGAAAGGAGCGAGCCTGGTAGATGGAACAATAAAATGAATAGAGGGAATACAATCAGTGTGGGGGGATTCATGATCATCAACCGCTCTGTCTGATGCTCAGGGGAAGCGCATGGTGGGTGAAGATGGCATGGAGGGCATCAACGACTTGGTCCACGAGAACTCCATGCTGCAAACGGAGAACAACAACCTGAGGGTGAGAGTGAAGGCCATGCAGGAGACCATCGACGCCCAGAGAGCCAGACTCACGCAGATCCTCAGTGACCAGGCCAACCAGGTGCTGGCCAAAGCAGGTGGGCAAAAAAAACTAAATTAGCATGGTAAAAAAAAGAAAACACGAACCATAGTCATATGTATATGATTTTAGATGTGGCAACGATATGGTCCAATATATATATATGTATGCATTTAAAGAATCTCCCTGGATATCAGTGCACACTTGGCCAGTCAAAAACCAAAAGTGTACACCCATTATTATAATATATTATAAAATAAGTTTGTTAGTGCGGCTAATGCTATTTCCTAACTAATTACATCAGAATGTATTTATGGTTTGCTGCTCAGATTAGCATACAAGTTCTTGCACATACACAATACGCAACTCTGGCTATCTTTTATATTTAAAAATAACAAATAGAATGTAATTGTCATCATATCGTTTTAATGTATTCAAAAAAAAGTAGATATCCAATTTGTTTACTGGTTTAACAAGAATATATAGCCATGCTAGCTGCTCTACAGCGGGGCTTTGAGCTGAATGCTAACGTCAGTATGCTAATATGCTCACAATCACAGCGCTAGCTAATTAGCACTAAACACAAGAAGTACAACGGAGCTTGATTGGAATGTTGTTAGTTTTACAGTTTTTAGTTTTTTTTTGTTTTGGACAAATACAAATGATGACCTACTGATTTATAGTGTCACAGAAGTGTACAAATAAAGAGTAGCTTTAACATGTAACATGTAATTACACTTTAAAGTCTTCTTCTCCACCACTGTACAAATCCACTTTAAGTGATGCCTCTGCTTGTAGGTGAAGGCAGTGAGGAGATCGGGAACATGATTCAGAACTACATCAAGGAAATCGAGGAGCTCAGGTATGTGGTCACCGCATTATTTATATAAAGTATTAGTATTCTGGCTTTATTATTTAAACAGCAGGTAAAAAACAAGTGTTCGTGCCGTGTGACGGAAATAACACTCGACCCTCCTCCGCTCCTTAGAGCTAAGCTTCTGGAAAGCGAGGCCGTGAATGAGAATCTGAGGAAGAGTTTGTCTCGGGCCTCGACGCACTCCTCGCTGTACGGCGGCTCCTTCTCCCAGAGCCACCTCGTCCCCGAGAAGGAGGCCAGCGACGTCATCGAAATGGCCAAGAAAAGCCTGGAGAAACTCAAGAGGAAGGAGAGGAAGAAGAAGAAGAGGTATAGTGTGGGTCTGACACACTTGTTCTTGAGATGGTGAAATTCAGTGTATGGATCGATGCTCCCTGCATTGGCAGTTTACACCCTGGCTGGATTTAGACAAGATGATAGTGACAGCTATTAACGATGATGGCTGGGTGTCGGGTTCTGGCACGCTGCAGCACACTGATCTTTGCACATTAGAGCCGAGGTGTTTAATATGTTATCTGGTCGTCGTTTTTAGCCGGATTTTTTTACGTGGAATCTGTCTTTGTCATCTCCATCAGCAGCGTTCATCATTCGAACACACTGCGTTTGTGAGAGTCTCTGCACTCGCCCCGGCCATTCTTGCTGCTCTCTCACTCTCTGTCTTTTCTCCCATCTTATAATATTCCCCTCACTTGCCCCAACTTCTGCGGCCTATCTGCCCCCCCCCTCCTCTACCTCCTCCTCACCATCCTCACCCCCATCCTCCCATCCCTCCCTCTCTCTCTCTCTCTCTCTCTCTCTCTCTCTCTCTCTGAAGACTAAGGCGATGTGAGGAGAATCACCACCAAGAGGTTGAACACACCAGGTTCGCTAAAACCCACCCAGGATTTGGTCGGATCTGAAATTAGTTCAATTACACAGCGGTGCAAATCGAGTACTTTTGTGCTCTGATTGAAATGCACCAAGTAATTGAAAGGATTTCAGTTGATTGTTAACCTGCGCCCAAACCCAAAGTTCCCAAAGTTCCCAAAGAAACTAATCACTAATTTCTTCTGCACCTACAGGCGGTTTACACTCCTGGAGGGAAACAAATATTTTAACCAGCTCTTCCTCTTAACCCTCTGTTCTATGTTTCCTTTTCACTGCACACGGCAAGATGTTGATCAGATCATATCTTACCCTTAAACAAAAAGGAGGAAAAATGGAGTTTGATAGTAAAAAAAAGTAATTTGAAAAGAAGAAGAAAAAATTTAGATGTAGGAATTTGGTCAACAAATCTTAACCATGTGTGGCAACCCTCCTTTAAATGAAGTCAGCTTGTAATGTTCTTAGTAGTGATCAGTTAATCAAATTGTCTTTCCCAGTGTGTCATTAATGTCTCCACCCATGCAATCACAGTGAAATCATTCATTAACACACTCATCCCACATGTGCTCCTGATCTGATCGAGTGTACAATCATTTGCATGTGCACTTCACACACCCTCGTTCGTAATTTGAATTGCAGTTAATTCCAGATCTGACCCACAGAATAAGTTCTCGGTAGGTAGCGAGCTAACGGTCTTTTTCCTCTTTCAGTGTTATCAAAGAGGAAGGCCCAGACAACGACCACGAGCGAGGCAACGAGGAGGCAGAGGTGGAGAATAACTTTAAGATCGTTATTTAAAGATGACAAATTTCTAAGGGGTTTTTTTTGTCTCTTGTGTGTATTTCATGTATGTTTCTTTATGCTGACAGGAGGGCAGCGACCACGAGGAAGGCGAGGAAGCAGATGGAGAGGAGGAGGACTTTGACATTGCGGGAGACGAGACCTCCGACGACTCCGACTCCGAAGAACTGGAGGAGAAAGGTAAAATTAGCCATTATGTACAGCTTCTTTTCTGGAGCCACAGTAGGTGATAACATAGAAGAGGCATCGGGCTCTAATGACGTGTTTTGTGCGTGCAGAAAACGTCCAGGCCGACCTGGCCAACATCACCTGCGAGATCGCCATCAAGCAGAAGCTGATAGACGAGCTGGAGAACAGCCAGCGGCGTCTGCACACTCTCAAGCAGCAGTACGAACAGAAGCTGACGATGCTGCACAACAAGATCCGAGACACGCAGCTGGAGCGGGACAAGGTGCTGCATAACATGGGTAAGAGACACTTGACTTCAGTAACTGGTACCTAAATACGTCTCTGAAACGGATGCGATAAAGTAATCTGCTCAAGTTCAAGGAGCAAAAGAAATGAAAGGCTTCATCATTCCCTTCCTCGTCTCCAGGTTCAGTGGAGTCGGGTACAGAGGAGAAGGCGAAGAAGATCAAAACGGAGTACGAGAGGAAGCTGAGCTCCATGAACAAAGAGCTGCAGAAGCTCCAGTCAGCTCAGAAGCAGCACGCCCGCCTGCTGAAGAACCAGACGCAGTACGAGAAGCAGCTCAAGAAGCTCCAGCTGGACGTGACCGAGATGAAGAAGACTAAGGTAAAGGAATAGGTTGTAAAGGAATAGGTTGTTTCCACCTTCACTCTAGTCTTGTGGCGGTGCCAATTTTCTCCTGGTGTGTCGTGTTTCTTTTCTTCCACCAGGTGGTGCTGATGCGTCAGATGAAGGAGCAGCAGGAGAGAAACAGAGCCTCAGAGTGCAGGAGGAACAGGGAGATCGCCTCTCTGAAGAAAGACCAGCGCAGAGCCGAGGTGAGAGCCGTCATCATTGTACCTTTGTTCAGTTTATTTTACACTTAAGCAAACATCTAGTCACTTTCCCAGTTCCTTTCCTAACATTCAATCCTTCTAACAGCACCAAATGAGGCAGATGGAGGCCCAGAAAAGACAACAGGAGTTGATTCTTCGCAGGAAGAACGAAGAGGTGAGACACAGCCACGTGGGGGAGGGGTACGGAGAATATCGCTGGGATTGCTTCCGCTATTGTTTCACTCTTACACGCAAAATGACTCCGTCTTTTGTGAACCTTAATCAGGTGACAGCCCTCAGGCGGCAGGTGAGGCCCGTGTCTGGGAAGGTGAGCAGGAAGGTGAGCTTTCCTGAGCCTCCCCAGGAGTCGTCTTATAGAGCCCCCCAGGGAAGGACGCAGACATCTGGAGCATCCCCGGCCAATGGAGCCAGGTGCGGCATCTGATCACGTTCATGCGTGTATTACACAGTTTGAGTGCGTGTTTGAACAGTTTTAAGAGGGCCTTACCTCTCCCCTCAGGAGTTCCCCGGTGCGGATGGGAAGTATCTACCTCAACAGGACCGCCAGGGCCAAATGGCAGTCACTGGAGAGACGTGTCACCGACATCATCATGCAGAGGATGACCATCTCCAACATGGAGACGGATATGAACAGGCTGCTGAAGGTACACATGAGGTCGTCAGATTCAAGATGGTCGTGGAAAAATAAAGAAGAGAAGAAATTGTGTTTTTTCGATCCTGTAAAATAAATCTCCTCTCAATTCCCTCTCCCTAAACTCCTCGCCACCACATTAGCAACGGGAGGAGCTGACCCGGCGGAGGGAGCGAGTGTCCAGGAAGAGAGAAAAGGTGGCGGTGGACGGCGCGGACGCCGACCGCTCCCTGGCCTCAATGAGCGAGGAGCTGGAGTCTCTGAGCGCCAACATCGACTACATAAACGACGGCATCGCCGAGTGCCAGGCCAACATCATGCAGATGGAGGAGGCCAAGGTGAGGTGGTGGGGAAGCCCAGGCATCTTATTCCTTGGGGGGTCAGGATGCCTGCAGTTTAGATGCCTAATAATTGAAGGTAAAGTCAGGATACAGGGTGCAGAGTGACGTGTATCACTACCTCATTAGCTAGTATATGCTTGTACTGGACTGGAGCCCTCAGGCAAACAATTTAGAAATAATGGCACAGTTCAGCACTACTGACGGCTCCCAGAGCATTTTAGACAAATAAGCATCAGGCGCCTATGTTGGAGAAACAATGGCTCAATAAAACAAGAGCCGCCGGTAGTGCAGCCCATTAAAACAGCCCAAAACATAGCGATTCATACCAAACAGACGTTCATAAATGCAGCTTTACAAGTGTTATTCGAGGAGCTTTTTGCTCTGTATGGCCCCAAAAGGTTCAGATGACACGTCCACTCTCACGGTGCTCCGGAAAACGTTTTAAATGAATGATTATTGAGCTAAAAGAACGAGCAATCAGAGGTTACAACAGGGTGGAAAGTGCCTTCCAAAAGCCTGTGGGTGCTGTCACTGGTGCCAAACCGTGCAATTATGTATCCGCTGTAAAGCCCGAGGGCTACGGTGTTAGCATTGGGAGCGCTGCTATAATCATGTGGAAGTGGATATGTTCAATACCTGCGGGGGCGCAGGATTGATGACAGAAAACTGTTGAACTTGTACACGTTTAGGATTGTGTTGCTAACTTATTAGCTAGTTTGAAACTACTGTGCATTACTAAACTGGGCTGCACCATTAAAACTTAAGAGTTAGCTTGTAAAGACTTTAGTAATGTGTAAATGGGGTATATTTGTAGCGCTGCTGCCAAGGCAAAAGGTATGATTCTCTGCACACATTGATCAATTATCTCATGAAACTAACCTAGCTGACTGGCTATTAGCATATAGCTAAAGCTATATTGTGTTATTTTTGGGAAATGTAATTTTAAAATATACATATTGTATGTAGTTATTAAACAGCATTTTAATCAAATGTCATGCCCTTTGTGTCATCCACATACCTATCTCACTCTTCAATCTGATATAAAACAGATACAAGAATCCATCAGTCTTCTCGTCTGACTCTTGACAGGAAAGCTTCTCCTGTGACCGAGTTTCTTCCCGTGCCACTTCATTGAACGTGTTTTTGTTCTGCTACAGGAGGAAGGAGACACGGTGGACGTCACCGCTGTGATCAGCTCCTGTAGTTTATCAGAAGCCCGCTTCCTTCTGGATCATTTCATGAATATGGCCATCAGTAAGGTACCTATACCGTGCTCGCTGACATAACGCTATTTCAGTCTTGATGTCATCAGTGTGTCTTTGTTTGCATTCACTCACTGACAACATGTAAAGTCCGGTTCCTGTAGTTTATATTTATGTATAACTTATTTAACCCTTCACTTTTACCTTTATATGATGTATTAAGCAACCCCACCCCGGCACAGATCAAATAAGACAACATCAAGCATTCCTTATATTTGTATATGATGCCCAGATCCGTGAAAATAAATGGACTGCATGGTTGTTGTGGTAACTTGTATACAATTCCTCTGCTTTTGTAGCCATAACTCCTTTTATACAATTGAATTCAATGAGAACTTTAGATGGGGAAAACTTGATTAAATTAAGTTTCAATTAGATAAGATTAGATATGATGCAACCTAATTGGTTTCGGTGGGGTAATGCATTCAACCCAGAAGACAGACGGAACAAATAAAGAGGCTGGCGTAATTACAACAACGTAGAGATGCGGAGCGTGCGTTTCAGGTTTGCCTGCTTGAGAGATGCGAACAGAACATGCTGCTCCTATAGCCCCGCCACCTCTGTGTCACCATGTGTCAGGGTCTGCTGGCGGCCCAGAAGGATTCCCAGATGAAGGTGATGGAGGGCACTTTGAAGCAGACAGAGATCAACAGCGCCACCCAGAACCAGCTGCTCTTCCACATGCTGAAGGAGAAGGCGGAGATCAACCCGGAGCTCGACGCTCTGCTGGGCAGCGCTCTGCAAGGTAAGGAAACGGCAACGAAATCCACACCGGTCCGAGCATGCCAATCACAATCACCTTTTCTTTTCTTTCTCTTTCACCATATGGCTACATTTTATTTTGTAGGCCGTGCAAAAAGAATTGATTCTTGAAATACAAAAATCCTGGCCTGTAAAATAAAGAGTAGCCCTTTTTTCCTCATCTTTGGGTTTGATTTTGATTTTGATTTGTTTGTTTTCTCTGTTGTGTCGGTGTGAACTCAGAGTTAGGTTACCTCTCACCGGGTGAGTATGTATGAGTTGCGTAGCAATGTGACTGTGATTTAGAGAGCGTGGCACATGCACACTACAAGATTTACCCAAATTAAAGGCAAATATGGAATTAAACTAAAAGATAAAAAAAATAACAGGCACACAAAATGGTTTAGAGACTTTTTTTGACTTTGGTCCCATCAGTGAATTTGAATCTTTGTAAAGAGATGTAACAACAAACCATAAGGCTCTTTGGGCTTTTTAAAATAGATCATATTTTGTTTTGTTTTTACCTTAAATATTATATTTTAAACACCAGTTATAGTTGTATAGTAATTGGTTTACTCAAGGTGGCTCTCTGACCTTAATATTCTTTTTCATGCTTGATGCATTAATGTGCTTTTGATAATTATATTTCTAAAGTACATTAAGACATCTTGTAGTGTGCATCAGTCCTCCTTCTAAAATACTAACCCAGTTGAAATAACTCGTGATGTGCATGTTGTGTTAAGTTTCCCTCGTTACATCACCTGCTAGCAAGTCCCACTTACTCAGATCACTAAAACCTAAACAGCAGTAAAGATCCACGCTGCTGCAAGACCGAGAGACAAAGTGTACTCGGCAGTTTGTGTGTCTGCCTTTTCTCTTTGTGTTCGTACCTTCCAAAACACTCCCAACACTGTAGCTTCCAGTCGCATTAACTGATGACACCCTTCTGTCCCCCTTTATCTAAAGCTGAACAACCCCTGACCTTGTCATGAGCTGCTGAAGCCTTAATTATTGTTGTGCTGTAATATTTAGCTTTCTAAATGGACGTTGTCTTTTGCAAAATTCCTTGAAAATACAGTTTGTTAGGAGATATACTGCACTGTTGAGGCAAAACACATTTTTATATATATATATATATATATATGCTTTGCCATTTAAGTGAGAAATCAGATTTTTTCGCAGAGAATGGAGATGGCAGCAGCAGTGACGAGTCCACCACCAGTCCAGCTGCGGAGGGCAGGTAAATACAGACACACAGTGATGCCTTTTATTCACAGTCTAACAGCACTTGTTAATGCTCAAACTACATGTGCAGAAAATTATATTTTTGTGTGTGTCATGTTTAACCTTTACAATAAATTATGGGTCTTTCTCATAGTGGGAAAATGAGATTTGGGCGTGTCACTTCCAGTGTCTTGGTGTCGTGCATGCTGGCTCGCTGACGTGGCTTACTGGGACACCTAAATGGAGAAAGCTGTCATTTATGTTATTAATGTCCCCTGTGCTTTTCCTTCTTTTACAAGTCGGCGTGTCTGGTAGTCCGGACTGAAACGTTTCACAGCTAGTTTATACAGATATTACAACTGCAATAACCTTGAGGGTCCCTTCATGTAGCACCACCATAACGGTTACATTTTAAGCTGTCCAGTAGGAAGACTTATGGCCAAATAGTTGCAACGAGCCTCAGCTGTGCTTCCCTCCCTTTGTTTCAGCACACTGGCATCAGATCTAATGAAGTTATGTGGTGAAACCAGACCCAGAGGCAAGGTACTGTACTGTTTATGGTTATGTGATGATAACCTGTAAAAACGTTTATTAGTAGAGCCATGTCCAATATGCTGTTCAAGTCAAATACAATGTTGAGTCCATTGTCCTGTTTGACATCCTATTCTACTTCCTACAACTACAACTTCTTCCATTCCACGTTAGCTATTTATAGGGCTTGAAATAATTACAAACCCGGTCCATTGACTTGTGAGTCTGCTGAATATCGAGCCAAACCATTCTCCTCCCTCAGGCTCGCAGACGCACCACCACCCAGATGGAGCTGCTGTATGCCGGCAGTGGGGACCCGTCCTGCGAGTCCCCCACCGGAGACTTCTCGGCCCCTCTGCTGCCCCTCTCGGAGCGCCTGGAAGGGTCGGCAGACATCCAGGGTCAAATGCTTGCTCAAATCCCTGACCGCCAGCAAACCGTTTCCCCATCTGCGCTGTCTGCCAGGCCAGCTGGCATGTAAGTGTTTTGGGGGCAACTTTTCTCAGCGGATATCTCGAGATAATTCTCTTTGTCTGAAATTTTTATTTTGGTTGGGGGATCATTATCACAAATGCATTTTTTTTGTCCTTGTCGTGTATAGTATTGGAGATTGTTGATCCACATTTCCACCCTGCTGAAGTGTTCTTCTTTCATTACTTACCGTCTGCAGTTGTGGAACCAGGTCACCCACAGGAACGGAGAGAAGGCCACCCGAGCGCTCGCCCCTCAGCCGAAGGAGGGTGCAGGAGAAAGGAGCCACGGCGACGCACATCCCAGCACCCACACACACACCTCCGCTCAGCACGGCGGAGGCTAAAACTAAAGGCAGCGACCACAAACCGCTGTAAGTGGAAGTGCAATCAATAGATTTTTCTTTAAACTTAGAATTGTCATTTCAGCTGTGGAGACCCCCTTGAAAGATGATGTGATTTTTACATTTTCCTTCATGTTACTTTGTTTTCTCATTCAGGTTGGAGGAGTCACCTGTATTTGAAGGCCACAGGTGATGCTCCTCTTAATGTGTCCCAAAAGTCTGTCCATTGAGCCTCTTCTTTTCAAATACAAACCTCTGTTTCAAACCCTGTTATTGCTGTGTATCACATCCACTGTAGTAGCACCAGTCACTAGGTATATCTTTCATCATGTCGTGTGTATTGTAGAGGTGTGATCAACCCTTTGAAGAGCAGCCGCGAGGCCAAACTTCAGTGTGTCTACGTAGCAGAGGGCCACACCAAACCTGTTCTCTGCGTGGATGCCACAGATGATCTGCTCTTCACGGGATCCAAAGGTAGAAAAACAAATTGTTTGCAACTCAGAAAATATATATATGTATTTGTTTTTTTGTGTCTATTCTCTAACATGGGTTTCGTGTTTTCAGACCGTACATGTAAAGTCTGGAACTTGGTGACTGGTCAGGAGATCATGTCTCTGGCAGATCATCCCAGCAGTGTGGTCTCAGTCAGGTACTAGAATACAGCAATAGTACAAATTCAGTAGCAGTAATAGTAGTATTTAGTAGTAGTACATAGTAGTCATCTTTCCTTGTTTTTGTTGTTTTATTTCAGGTACACTTCAAGTCTCGTCTTCACCGTTTCCACTGCTTACATCAAAGTGTGGGACATACGAGACTCTGCCAAGTGTATCCGCACGCTCACGTGGGTTCATTTGTTCTTCTGACGTCTTTGCAGCTTCCATTGTTTCAGTACAATGCCCCTAAAAAGGCCGTATTTTTGCACTCAGGTCGTCAGGCCAGGTGGGTTCAGGGGACATCTGCTCGTCTGTCCGGAGTTTGTCCATCCCACCAGGAGAGAGTCAGATCAACCAGATCGCCCTCAACTCCTCCGGCTCCTTCCTTTACGCCGCCGCTGGCAATGCTGTGCGCATGTGGGACATCCGCAAGTGAGTCCAAAGCGCAGATTAGAGTTTTCTTTTTTTTTTACAAAGCAGACGGACCAGAACTCATTCTCCTTTCCTTTTTCCTTCTCTAGATTTGTATCCACGGGGAAGCTCACTGGCCATTTGGGACCTGTAATGTGTCTGACCGTTGACAAATTAGGTCACGGGCAGGATGTCGTCCTCACTGGCTCCAAAGACCATCACATTAAAGTAAGAGCAACTGAAATCGCCTTCCCCATTTCTGTGTGTATGCCACAAACTACGAGAATAAGATGCACGGCGGGCTAATGCGGGTTTTTTTTCCCCCAGATGTTCGAGGTGACAGAAGGTGCTCAGGGTAGCATCAGCTCCAGCCAGACGTTCGAACCCGCCCATCAGGACGGCGTGGAGTCTCTGGCCGTGCACGGGGATGTATTCTACAGCGGCTCCAGAGACTATCGCATCAAGAAGTGGGACCTCGGCAGTAAACGGCTGCTTCAGGTACGCTGACGCCACGGCAGCACAGCATAGTGGAGCCAGAGGCTTTTATACCCGACCATATTTCAATTTACATGAGCTGGAAAAACTTTTGGGGGGAAAATTTATACAGAATAAATCTAACTGTGCTTTCCTCTAGCAGTCTGTCAGTGCCCAGGCGGACTGGGTGAGCGCTCTGGGCGTGATGCCAGGCCAGTGGCCGGGCTCCCCGGTGCTCCTCAGCGGATGCAGAGGAGGGCTGCTGCGCCTCTGGCACGCCGACTCGCTGGCGCCCCTCGGTGAGGTCCGGGGACACGACAGTCCCATCAACGGCCTGGCCACCAACGGCAGCCAACTGTTCACCGCCTCAGAGTGAGTCACACAACGTGCTCGTCTGAATTCTGATGCTTTTCCCCATTACTGTCAAGTGTGCAGTGAAACGGGATTGTGAATTGTGTACATGTGTTGTTGTTTTTTGTGGCAGTGACCGCACAGTGAAGATTTGGGAGGCCAAAGGTTCTCTGGAGGAAGGAGTCCACTGACGCCTGCTTCCGGATCTGAAATGGAGGACCGTCTACTGGCCTACATGACTTGACGAAGTGTCAGATGGGAGCCCAAAGCCTGGGTCCCACTGAAGAAGAATCCTTAAACAACACTGAATCCTTCACTGACGCTCCACTGGGGATCAGTTTCAGGGAAGCCTAATTAGATGCGACAGCTCTCGGTCTTTCAAGCTGTGCTGATATTTAAGGTCAAGACGAATCCAAAGTGGAGCCTCTCGAGTCTCCTGTAGAGCTCTGCTGACTGCACGACAGCTGCGATGGACAGCCTCTTGAAGTGCAGAATCAAAGTACAAATATGGACTTCTGTCTCAGTCGATCCAGGAGTCTCTCCTGTGCTTTCAACATTCCTCTCGTCAGTTCAGCGCTTGACAACATTGATACCTTCTATGCATGGCCTGTAGTGACTTTTACCCAAGCTGCTGGTGAAGGGCTTTGCTTCCTTGCACCAATTGTTGATTGCTGAATGAGTCTGTGTCCCAAAACAAGACATGGATCTCTCTCCTGCTCACCAGCAATAACTGTGAGTCCATCCTGTGTGTTCACATTAATGCGTGATGTGTTGTGTCATTTCTCTCCAGGTCATTTTGGGTCTGTCTGTGTGTGTGTGTGTGTGTGTGTGTGTCTGTGTGTGTGTTCACTGTAAGCAAGGACCAAATAACTACTGAAACTGCGTATGGTCTTATTCTTCAGCTGTTACTGCCAAACCTTACAGTGCGGAGGTTTTTCAGAATGGGAGGCGGGCCTCCCCGGGGTGGTTACAAACTGTTTGAGGGGAGGCTCAGTGGATGGAAGTGAAAATATATTACACTAGTTATTAGGTCAGTTATCAAAAGAAGATCACATAGAATAGCCTAAATATGTGTGATTTGGTTTAGGAGATAGTTCAGAGAGAAGCTACAGTAGTCACAAGAGCTAATAAATGCCTTAGGACAGACCTTTTTAATGCGTTTGGTGTAGTCTGCAGTTATGTCTAACTACCTGGCCTCAATCGTTAAGTGTCTATCTGTATCTATGGGATCAAATAATATCAAAATAGGCATCCAGCAATTGAGCGAAACAAAAAAAGTAAACCAGGAGAGGAGCCTTTGTCCAAGCTTTGTCTGAGGGGAGGCCCACAGTCTCGGACTTCCTGATCTAGTGGAACATGAAAGCCCTCTGAATAAACATTGACAGGCTCCTTTCACATTTCCCCTTCAAATTTCAGTATTTTGTTCTTGTGTTTCAGTCAGTGTTCATTAAATCAACTGCTGACCAACATTATGTCTCTATAAAAAATGTGTGGTACAATGTATTCTGCTTTGCTCTGTTTAATTCGGTTGAAGTGAAGACTATAGTGTAGGCTAAACAGTAAGAGCTTTCTCTCTTCTCGGGCCGTAGGGGTGCCGCCGGTCTTCCCCTAAATCGGTTGACTTAGCTCTGGAGTCACGAATATGAGGTCAGTGAGGCTGGAAGATGAAGACACACAACACACTTTTGAAAGCTTGCTGTTCGGTAGTGTCTTCTTAGTCGTACAGCTCTTCCAAAGATTGATTTTTATTTAGTTTTGTTTCCCTCCAAAGGGTTTTGCTGTGAAGGTTTTTTTTTTGTCCCATGGCCAGATTGAGTGAGAAGACGAGGCCGGAGGGTCCTGTGATGTGTGCTACCCGTGACTTCCTGTATCTACCAAATGCATTCATTACTTGTAACTGCAAAAAAAACAGTGCACCTTCAACATTAGTGCAGAGTTTACCTTTTGTTTCCGAGTATATTTTATGGAACTGGGACACACTTCTTCCTAGTAACGAACAAAGGTTTTCTCACCTTTTCATCGCACAAAGCCATCACTGCTGAGTGAATGTGCAGCTTAGTGCAGCATCTATATGTTCCGATCACACATTGAGACATGCACGTAAACGCATCAAACATCATTCAATCTTTTAAATGTGAGTCTAAAATACTGCTATTTATTTATTGTGATTTGATTTGTGATGTTGCTGTTGTGTCTTCCTTTATCAATCAGAGATTTCTCACCAGTTACCGTCTAATGCCTCTCCTATCTTAGCACTGCGCGCAACAGAAGCGGTGGATTTCTGCATAATCAGAGGTGTATTGCCAGTGCCTGCAGCAAATTCTAAACTGTGGATAGCGACTGTAGAATCACTACATGATATCCCTTATTAAAAATATCCTTTAAATCTATTGAAAAACACTTCTTGCTCTGGTTCGGGTATTGTATGTTCGCAATGAAAAGTCAATGGGACTCAAATAATTGCACAGAATAGAATACATGTTTGTTTTGCAATTTTAAATCAGTATTTCCCCATTGTCTCACAACATAGTTAAATACACGGCTAAGTGAAATAGATTAGTTACAGAAACTGGTTTTCATTCCTATTGATTTAACCCTGAATTGCTAAATTAAGAGATAAAAAAAAAAAAAACTACGAGCCACAAGTTTTCATAATGAATCAGATAAGGCTGCTTAAAAGTGTTCTTTGTAATTAATCATCCTTCTGGTTGTAGTTGAGATTTGACTGTAAACGTACTTGTGTAAATACCATAGACTGTATAAAACAGGGTTAGATTAGAATAAAGTAAATACAACTGTTTTCTTCCTGCTGATTCTCTTGGGCACAATTTGAAATGATTAAATATCAGGTGCAGTGTGAAAATAAATTTTGAAATGGATGGTTTTGCAAGTACTGTCTTTATTTTTCATCTTCTGTAACCATGTATTAATCATAGACGTGTATATAAATATATACAGTATGTATAGGTATACATTTATCAGTGTATGGCATTAATACGTTACGACCACATGGTGGTAGCACTGTATGATGAGGTGATGTGTTAAATGACAGTCTGATCAGATCAGATGGTCAATGAAAACAGCTGCAGGGTTCTGTTTTGCTTTTTTCTTATTTTGATTTGTATCATTCATTCAGTGATTATCTCCAAATGTCCCCCCCCAAATACTTGCTTTATAAAGAGGGGAATAAGGGAGTACTGTCACTCAAGAAAAATCATAGCCTCACCATAGATACATTATACAGTATATTTACTCACAAGAATTTCCGGATATTTTCTCCCTTCAACAAATCATCATGTATCTGCTGCTGGTTTCACTCCTTTCCTTATAACTTCAGGCAGTAAACTTGTATCCTGTAATTTACTCCAGCGCAGTAGATGCAGACAGGCGGAGTGGGAAAGGGGGTCAGAAACTCCCCCTGAAGACAAAAATGAATGCGAACAGTGATTGAAGGATCAATATTTTATGTTCATCTGTACAGCAAGCAGCGGAGTGTTGACTCACAGCTGACTCACTGCCTTACCGTGTGTTTGGTTGAACTTCTACTCTATTCTGTCGTACTTTTACAATTCTATTAAGTGCTTAAAGATGACATAACACACCCCCGCAATGCATCACTCAACCTGATTAACTCAGCGTAATTTATTTTCCTCTCTCTGCTGCTGTTATTGACAGGGAACAGCTTTTTTTTTTTTTTTTAAGTGTGATTGATTTGCATTGTCATAACACTGGAAATCAGCACCTTGTCACTATACCCTGAATGTATAGTTTAACCAATGGAAGATTTCCTTCTTGTCTAGACTAAGATGAGAAAATTGATACCACTCTCACGCCAAATCTGAAGCTAGCGGTTAGCTTAGCATAGCACAATGACTGGAGGCAGCAGGGAAACAGCTAGCCTGGCTCTGCCTAAAGGTTAAATTGAGGGCTAGCTAGCATGTGCTAGCACCCCCCTGGCTGTCGCTTCATATTTTAACAGACAAACCAACACATTCAAACACGTCAAATACCGACGCTTGGTCATTGGCCCTGAGCGTCAAACTATGACGGCCCACGTACCCGCTCTGGGTGTCAGAATTTGATGGATTGGGAGAGAGATTGGTTGTGGTATCGATCTTCTCACCTATCTCGCCATGGAATTGAGTAAGCGTATTTTTCAAAATATTGTAAATTTGATCAGAAACTCAGTTTATGTGACATAGGGTCAACTGACAGGAAGTGCAGTCATGACTGGACTGCATGTGTGAACTTTAATCGGCCTATTTTTCCATTGGATTTTGGATTATTGCAGAAAATAAGCGCTGTGGTAAACAAAGGTTTATGATACTTCGATGTTAATCTTCTCAAATGAACATCACTTTTCTGATTTTTGAAGAGTGAATGCAAAACATTAAGCTATGAACGAACTACACCACAGTCACATGAACGCGAGTATAGGCTACAACAAGGCTGTGAAGGCGTGATGGCGTTTTGTAATCTCGTTTAGCCACTTGTTAGCAACCACCTTCTTTACGACACTTAAAAGAAGGCGGCTGGGGTAAGGGGTGTTTACTTACGTACTGTATCTTATATCCTAGAACAAAACGTTTAAAGGCTTGTGTTACCACAGACCTTTTTTTTTAGGCATCAAACCAAAAACCCATTGGAAAAACCCATTGACTTCGAGGCAAATGCAAAAACTTTGACTCACTTCCTGGTTTTAGGACTCATTCCTGCAGCACTCCCTGTCAAACAATCAACAGTTTCAATGTTACATTCCTAAAATAGCTTTCATACTTGAACATCAAAAGTCTCTGTCCAGCCAGCTCCACAGGATGTTTACTGTATAGGCCTTTCCGGGTAACACTCATATTCCTGGCACATTAGTGCACAAGCCAGATGATCAAGTTCCACCAGAAATCAATAATGACTTCTCCGACAGAGAGCGTGCCCCGAGAGTTCCGCTTTCACTTTTAATTGTAGCATGATCTATGATGAGTCTGGAAGATATATCCTCCTCTAATCTGTTCAGTGAACATATGGATTGGTGATGTGTGTGTGGGCTCACAGTGAAATACGTCTGAATAATGTGATTTGAACAGCTGCAGGTGCTTTTTATTTACTGTGGGATTCAAATTAATACAGGTTAATTTCTATGTGAAACGACCTGGGCGGAGATTCAGAAAAAATTTATTTACTGTATGCTTTGGATTTATCTTTTTGGTGTTGTATTCCCGTTGCTGTTTGGCCATTAGTTGGTGCATTAGAGGCCTTTTGCTGTGCATTTCATTGTTCCTACTTCTTAATGAGATCATTAGATAAATATGGACATCATTAGGAGCAAGAATATTTTCCTGACATTCAACCTGCGCGGTATGAAAAAACAGACATAAATTGCATTCTTTTAACAGCCATGTGTAAAAAATAAATAAATAAAATAAAAACTCAAAGAATTGCTGGGAGAGGGTGTGGCTGAGATAGAACAGAAACAAGGAAAGCGGAATGAGATAAGGAGTTAAGGTGTGTGTGTGTGTGTGTGTGTGTGTGTGTGTGTGTGTGTGTGTGTGTGTGCGCGTGTGAGCCAAGTGGCGCTTAAAGACTTTTATTCTGAGCGGCAATGAGGCTCAGGAGGACGGGTCAATATTCACCAGCTCCTATCTCTGAGCGTCCACAGAACGAATCCTCCAGCTAAAAATACCAGTGCCGCTGTTTTTACGACCAGAACTGATGAGCCGTGATACCGCGGCTTTTGCTCTCCTGATGCGGCTACAGAAATCAACCTCGTCCCCTCTCGGCGGGTCTCTGGTTATCAAGCACAACAGATTGGGAGGAACACAGTTTTTTAATATGCCCGGTAAAAAGCGCTTCGGCTTTAAATTAGAGGGCAGCGCTTTTGAAGGAAAGGCAGGTTTTGATTTTTGGTTTTTCTTTTTGCGTGGAGGGGACGAACGAAAACCGTGGGAGATGAACAGCAAAGCAGGAGTGTGATTGCGAGCGGGTGGGAGATGACAGTGAGAGATATAGCTGGTATTGTGAGAGCCACAGTGAAGGGGGGGGGGGGGGTCAACTGTTTGCTCTCGTGCAGCCCACAAAAGGAAGCTCTCCACATTGAGTGATCTGCTTTAGTTCGCTCCATGTAAGTGCAGGTCAGCATCAATTGTGTGGGAAGTGGCGGGGACCGTTGAAGCAGGAGAGCTCTCCAGTTGAACCCTGGGTAGTGGAGAGTAAATGAGGACTATTGTAGTTCTGTGGTGAGGACGTGGAGAGAGACAGAGGGACGTTTTTGCACTTGTTTACGTACATTACTGTACAATTTACTGTACCCAGTCAGATCTGGTTCAGTTTTGCAAGATAGACCAGCAGCTGTATGGTCGAGGGAACATCTGTTAATAATATGGATGAGGTTTTTAAGCCGCAATGTATAGGTTTTGCATTGCCGATCTGATCACTGTGGTCCACACTGCAATGAATATGTTGACTGTCGGACGAGTTGCCATGCTTTTTTTTTTTTTTTTTGAAGACGTTCACTTATGCTCTTGAAACTAAAATAGCTGCAAAATGAATGACATTCCCCTCAGTTTCAACTGTAATTTATGTCTGGTTTTAGTTAGAAATTGTTCGTTTAAAAACATCCTACAAACATGAAATATCCCTTCTTCCCTTTTTACGTCGCCATTTCTTCATCAAATGAAATATACTTTCTACATTAAAGCGAAGACATATACTACATTGTTCATAAAACATGTAAACACTGCGAACATGCAAAAACATAAGTGGGGAATGCACTGTTTGGGTCTTTGAATATAGGCCCGTGACTGAGGATAAGCGATCATGATAGCACTGGCTTGTGGTTGTGTGTAATAATTGCGCAGCAATTTATTGGTTGCACATGGCTTCATGTTTTATGCATGTTCAGGGATTCGGTAGCTGAATTATGATTCATGGAGTATCAACTTTGTGTGTGTGCGTGTACTGTGTTTGCACACACACAGTGCTTCTAGTTGAGATGTCGGAGCACTAAAGTTTTACAAGGCAAGCAGTGTGCTAAACCTATCCTAAATTTGTTTTTTTTTAACAGATAATCTATATAATTGTAGGAATTTCTCACAATTAGCTTATTTATTGCTAATTATTTTGAGATGCATGAAACAGGCCTTGTTTTTGGTTGATTGACAAACTTGTGTGACGTACACAAATTGTTGACGTGTCCGCTCACCATGGAGACTCTGCGGAAAGAGGCTGAGCCGGTGTTGCTCTGTGGGATGCTGCAGTCAGGAGGCAACAACGGGAAGTTTGCTCACACAAAGGCCGTCTGTCTTTCTGTCTGTTACACTCTGTATGTGCATGTGTGCGTGTCTCAGTGTGCGACCGTTCATTATTGCCCCCCACCCACCCATGTGGACGTGGTGTGTGTGTGTGTGTGTGTGTGTGTGTGTAAGACGGCTATATTTAGAGACGTTAGCCGGCAAACACACTGAGTAATACTGAGATGCGTCATTTTGAGATCCTATGACTCTATGATCAAAACAAAATGCGTACACACACCCAAACACACACACAGACACACTGATGGCCTGTAGATAGGCTACTTGTGTTCTAACAGGAAATTCTCCAGTTTTATTCTTATAACTTAAAAAAAACCCATTATGTATTAAAACAGGACACATTCAGTGAAATAAAGAGGTGTTCTGTTGCTGAACAACTCAGAGCGACACACTTCAACATACCGTATAGGTCTCAATGTCCACACAATGTGACCCTCCTTTATCCCTTCACATCCATCATGCTGTCATTCTTTTCTTCGCCAGCGGAGGGTCTCCCTTCCAATTAATTAATTTGGATGCTTATCCTCATAGCACAGAGAGAGAGAGAGAGAGAGAGAGAGAGAGAGAGAGAGAGAGAGAGATTTATTAGTGTTTCTACAAGCCCTAATAATAATGTTCGTAATAATAATCTCCTCTCAGACTATGTGTGTGGCAGAGAAACTCAATGTGTGGCACAGCAAGACTAGATTACCAACAGCAGATACAATGGGGAAGTACTCTGGTTTTTTTGGTAGTTTGTACAGGGAGCCTGCGTCCAAATCTTGTAGTTAGACCTCAAAGGTGCACTTCAGTGATTTGGTGTCACACTTCCATGAAGTTGAGGGACTTATAAGGGTCAGATCAACACAAAAATTGTCAAAATGTAAACAGTAGAGGCATAAAAATATCCATACTATTAGTCACAATAGGTTAAGGACGTAAAACACTAGATCCTACATATCCCATGATTCCATATGACCCACTCCTGCCAGGTAACAAGAACATCTTTCAAACTTCGCACCTGCTGCTACACCTGATGACATCACCAGGGGCCCTAATAGGCTAGATCCGGCCGTGAAAGAAGGAGCGAGGAGTCCTTCGTGCCAACAACCCACATTGAACTGAACTGAATCAAACTGAATTGAACTGACGTGAATGAGAGTATTGAGGGATTTCTTTCCATTTTTTTCTTGATGATTGTATCATTGTCATCACTTCCATGCCAGTAAATCTGAAGCACTGCATTTTAAATGAGCTGAGCTGAAGTCAACTGAACTGAATTGAAAAGAGTGGGAGAAGGGCAGAAAGAGAGGAAGGAGATGGCAGAGAGAAGGGAGAAGGAGAGAAACTCGCATTCACACACACACAGAGGAGGAGAGAGAGAGAGAGAGAGAGAGAAGGAGAAATGTGACATCACATCTCCCAGCCTCGCTCCCTCTCGCTGGCACCTTTGCTCCACTTCTCGCCGAGGAGGCGCACACACACTCAGTTACTCGTTACCCTCCTTCACCGCTCATAAAAAAAGGGGGCTGGACCACAAAAGAAGAGGAAAAGGAAAACATTTTTATTTTGACAGGATGAACAACAGTTTCCCGAACATGGCGTCGATAGGCGACTTCGACCCACTCAACGCGTCTATTCCTGCGACCAAAGTTGAAATCACGGTGTCCTGCAGGTAAGGGAATGCGCCTTAACCCGGTTTCCTACTCTTGTCAGGGGTTACGGAAAAACACCGAGCTGCGGACGCAGCTGCAAGTCCCCTGTACTTCAACTCCGTCCAAGTTTGTGTTTAGTTCACGTTTAGCGTCTCTTATATCGACTACGACCACGTAAACAGCGTGGAAAATGACACTTTTTTGAAACGCTATTTATGTCGAGTCAACGTTACATTGTCGCAGTATTGTACTTTACCGACTCGTAGTAGCGCTAGCGTAATTAAACATAAGTGTGGTGCCACTTTGTCCACTTCAACGCAGTTAAAACGACCTAGTTCGTATTGATAACATATATCATACAACACTTAGCAAGGGTGTATGTAATATGTGAATGCTACGGGGAATTCTGTAACGTTTAAACCCGACAAGCTCCGCTCAAAGTCACTTTTAAGTGCCAGCGACGCATAGTTCAACGTTACTATACCGCGTGCATGTTTACAGTGACGCTATAGGAACAATTGTGTTGTATGACTATTACAAACACTGTCGGGTACACGGTCACGCTGTGAGACGATGTAGTGGTACAGTAGGAACAGTAGGATAAGGTATAAACTGATTTAATTAAAAAAGGGCACTGTTGGCTTCCCGCCAGTGTGTCTGTAAAGTGCACGAGGGTGCTAATGAGTTATTACTAATTATTTAGGCATATTGTTTCATACTGTGTCTGCGTTTCCCACGGTCTTGTCGTCGCTGGTTGGTGACCTGTCAATCATTTTGGCGCACAGAAAAGCACGTAAAGGGTTGTTACAATCATTACATGCTGATTATATGGTGTGTGTGTGTGTGTGTGTGTGGATACGCGAGTGACAGAGAAAGCAGGAGGACGAGGCTGGTGTGTGCTTAACCCTCTTTTAGAGTGAGGTCTTATACTCTGTCATTAATTTTCCTCTCTGAATACAAGCGGGGTGAGACATGCAGAGAGTGTGTGTGTGTGTGTGTTATTTTGTGCCTGGCTGCTGACCCACGGTATAGGCTACAGGCTGTGTTTGCTTTTACAGCCACGTTTTGTGAGAGGAGCCCCCCCAGTAAGGGAATCCAATTAAACGAGTCACCTCCATCAAATGAAAGAGGTCACATCAGCTGTTGTGTTTTTTATTATCATCTTGTCATAGAGAGGTTGTTTAATACACATTTGAATGCTTATGATGGAGAGAAAAAAAGAAGAAGCTGTTAAAAAAAGAAGAGTTGACATTGATAGCGTCACACCCCTGAAGCTGTCCGTGTAAAATAGGTTGCAGTGTATATGGGAGTTCCTCCGTGTTGACAAATGAACTGACCGATGACACCGTGCATTGTGCCTGTAAATCTGATGATATGCAGATATGTCTCCCCTGCAGTTATGCAAATGTTAAACAGAAATATTTTGGTAAAACTTTTCCTGAATCTAGGAAAAATGTGTTGAGACGCCTTTGCATGTTGACGCGGTGCTCCCCTGCCGTAAGTGTGTTGTTGTGGTTTTGTTTGTTGTCGCTTATTTCTTTTTTTCCAATCCAACATGATCTCTCAGAATGATATTTCAAGAGTTGAGACATTTTGGCAATGTGTTGCCATCAACACAATCCTTTTATTTTTTTGGAACATGGGGTATCTGCCCGACCAGGTGAGTTACCTGGGTGCACAACACACGCTCATTTCTGGAATATCATTAATTGGAATTGACTTTAAACACGCTCCATGAATCCATCTATCCCTTTGATTTCCATTAACATGGTTTAATTAGAGTGCTTTACAATTAAGGCCATAAATCAAATGTCAGTGTTCTAATTTTAGTTAGTTAACTACACGATAGTATATTTTGGCACTGAGAATGACACTGATTGCCTTGATGCTGGCACTCTTCAAAACCCAACCCTCAGGTGAGGTTACACCACTATAGGAGGAGAGGACAAACACCGTTTCCTGAGTCCCTCACATGAGGTTTTATCAGCATCTCCTTAGTAACACAGAGACAATGTCATCTTCCAGCAGAATAAATGAACATGTTAGGCAGAGTTAGCTAATGTCTGAGTCACCCAGCCCCCCCCCCCCCCCCCCCCCCCCGGGGAAGGGGGGAGGGGTATATTGGTGGCTATCCTCCCACCTGAGGTAGAGCAGGAATGCCATGGTAACGGCCAGGTGTGTGTGTGTTTGTGTGTGGGCGTATAACATATACGTTGTGTGTTTCTGCATGTTTCAAGTGGATACAAAGGGCAGTGTACCGTATCACCATGGTTACGACTTTTTTTTAAAGTTTCCCACTGTGTGTGTGTGTGTGTGTGTGTGTGTGTGTGTGTGTAGGGGGGAGGGGGGGGGGGGGTTAGAGTGAGAAATCTCACCAAGGAGACAATGGCTGAAGTGAAAGCAATATGGATGACTTGGTCAGACAATTTTGGATTTTTAAATGTGTGTGATGTGGCTGCAGTGATTGGCCACTGTCATTCACAAGTGAGCGAGAAACAAAAATGTTCAGGCAACAGGTCGCATGTGTTGAGTCTGAGTGCATCTTGTGGAAAGGCGTGCAACAAACTGCAATGAGGACATTGGCTTCTTTCCAATGCAGATCAGCATTCTGGAAACTCTCCTTGAGTGCATTCTGGTTTGAAGATGTTGACACCTGTTTCAGGGAAATAACTAGAACAGGCAATTTGCCAACAAGTGACATAATCTTTTGATTTGATATGCATGCTTATTAAGCCTCTTTAAGACATTGAATGACTGGTTGAGAGACTTTGGAGCACACGCTCCCATTCGAAGTCGCTCTGTGATTGCCGTGTAGCCGGTGGTGACATAACCCCTTGCAGTAATATTGACAGATGCTCGGCTCTTAGCCTGCATCTCCGGCTAATTCCGATAATGCTCCGATGCTGCGGGGGATATGAAGTCGGAGCTCGGGCTCAGACGGTGAGCTGCAGACATTTCTGCCGATCGATGGGAGAGCCCCCCGAGGTATCGGCTGGGATCGATGCGCCGCCGACTCGATCCCGCCCGCTGCCCCGCACAAAGGCACACACACGTGCATGAGAGTATGTTCACACATGCCGCGGGGGCCCCCCACACATGAATGGCCGTGCGCGCAAACTATTCCTCACCCTCACTCGGAACAGTCGCAGAAGAATAAATGAGGCCCTGATGCACTTCCCGGGGGGGGCTCTGCTGTGAGCGGCCTCGAGTCCAAATATTCCATTATGTCATTGATCGGGCCAGCACGCCGGTTGTTACTTCTCATATTTCATACTTAGAATATTGTTTTTGCCATTTTAGGAAGGTTTGTTTGTAGAGTCTCAAATTACTATTGCGAAATAATGCATATACATTTGTATTGATCTGCACAATGGGGCTGATACCTTGCTGTTATTGCTTCTTGGGTCTATATATATATATATATATATATATATATACTGGTGCTGTAATTTAATCTGTGTGTTTGCTTCAGTGTGTTTTCCTATTATCTGGAGAAGGGCAGAAAGCGCAGCACTGTTTGGTAGCGGCTATAGCTTGCATTAGCATCAAATGCTAGGTGAGCTAGATGGTGTTGTGCACTCATTTATTAATTAAATATATTTAAATGAGAAATTTGCCAGTATTTGATTGTATTTTTTTTCCAGGCAATTTTTTTGCACAGCTGCTCATGTTTAAACAGTCTTCTAACTTTTGAAAATTTTGATGAACAAAGAAGAACAACATCTATATAACATTTATATTCTTAAAAGAGGTGGCCCCCATCAGTGGCCCCCATTGAAAACATTTATTTTGTAATTTTTCATATCAGTACTGAAACTCTCGTATCAACACCAGCATTGAAAAGTTGCAAACAATAATAAGAGATAAGAAAACAGACCCCAACTCTTCGTTGCTAGGACTTCTGGGTACACTGCGGCTGCGTTGTTCTCCGTCTGAAGTCAGACTGAAAGAGAATGTCACCTGACATATTTGTATTCAGAGGGGAAATTGCCCCATGGTAATGCGGATCACAAAACCAACCAGCCACTCAATAGATTACTGTTGTTGTTGTTGTTTTGGGGGGCTGGCCACTTGAATATTTCACCAGCATTTGGCTGTTTGCTAATCTCCAACCGTGGATCCTAAAAAAGACGTGTGTTATGTTCGTGGTGGAATGCTTCACATTAGGTTGTTTCTTTAGTCTTCAGCTCATCTCTTTCTCCTACCAGCATGACAGAAGAGCGAGAATAACAATAACAAGCTCGACGAATGACCCTGAGAGAGATAAAAAAAAAGGGACTGGTTTTATGATCATTTTTCCCCCACAATGTCTTGCTTGAAGCATCTTCTCTCTCTCTCTCTCTCTCTCTCTCTCTCTCTCTCTCTCTCTCTCTCT